CCGAGTAGCTGGAATTACAGGCGTGCGCTACCACGCCCGGCTGATTTTCTGATTTATTGTAGAGATGAGGTCTCGCTGCCCAGGAGGGTCTCGAACCCGCGGGCTCAGGCAATCCACTCACCTCAGCCTCCCAAAGGCGCGGGATTGTTACAGGCTGAGCCACCAAGCCGGGCTAAACCTCAACTCTTGTAAAACAAATTGGACACCCTTGAGAACTGCCTGCCGACTGACTCATGGGTCCGCAACAGGGTGTGCAGGTGGCCTGAGGGTCCTGCAAATTTCACATTTTCAAGGAAAATACAGCTATGACTCTCAGGTAATGGGGCAAAACACTAACTGGAAGTAGCTCACAATTTCAACATTAGTTCACACTACGTTCCTTTTCATGAGGCGTCTTTGTGAGGCTGAATTCTAGTGGCTGGGATGGTAAAAAGCAAACATCTCATGACAATCAGTGTGGGACTACCTATGGGGCACAGTGTTCACTATCTGGGGAACGGGCCACCTGAGACCCAATCCCCACTGCTACACAATATGCCCATGTAATGAATACGCATGTGCACCCCCTGAATCTAAAATAAAAATTAAAAAAGAAAATCCATGTGAGCTAGGAAGTGAGGGGGAGCAGCCTTGCTTCGCACCCTAAGGTTTGAGAAGGTGTGCAGAACTCACAGGCACACCAAACCCACCTCTGGGCAGCGGCCAGTACGCACATTATTGCCTTGATTATCTGCTAAAGTTGTTTGGTATGGTTATAAATACTTCTGAAATCAGTTGACTGTACCTACTTCATAATTAGAAACTGTTCAGTTTTTCTCTTGGCCTAGGGGCTTTGCAAAGGAATTTCTAAGACACTGAGGACACCGTACAGCCAGAGTCTGGGAATGTCTGTACTCATCACCTCTCTTCATGATTATTAACCACTCTTTAAGGATAATCATTCACCTATGGAGGGGGAGGTTCACTAATGAGGCCATTGTGTGTTCTCCAACTCTTCTTCTGTGCCCACAAAGATATCAGAAAAGCGTATGGAACAGAAACTTGAACAGCACTGGGCAGGCCTGAGGCTGCAAATCCTTGAGTTTCAATGTCACCCAAGTGATCAGGCAAGGAGCCTCTCTGTCAGCAAATCTGAGGTTGTCTAAAGGGAAGGGAATACCACAGGGCAGAAAGCTCAGCCCCCTTTGCCCTGTAGGGCGTCAGAAGAGTCTTGGAGGCGGACAGGGAAGGAGCCACACGGATTTGGGTTTTTTGGGGGGTTTTTTGAGGCTAAAGTTTTTGGTTTTCTATTATACTAGGAGGTCTAGAGATAAGCCAGCTGACCAGAAAAGAGGTGCACGTCAGACAGACTCTCTGGGTTGGCCACTCGGGGATTTGGGTCTCAAGGAAGTCGAGTAAGAAATCCAATGGCCTAAAGTGCAATCACTGAACAACCAACCACACTGCCTTTTCCCAAAGAGCAAAAGTAAGAAAACCTGTCCAGGGTATATAAAGCAAGTCGTAGCCCAGTGATTGAGAAGAATGAATTCTCATCAAGGATTTATTATGCCCTCAGCTGTAATATCTTGAGAAAACATAATTCTAGCACACACGAG